CGAGTGCCCTCTGCCGATGCGCCGGCTGCGGGGCTGCCGCCGTGGCTTTCCCCAGGACGGGAGAGCGGGGTGCTTGGGGCAGTTGCAGGAGTTGTGTTGGGTTAAATGCAGGGGTTGTGAGGGCTGCGGGCGTCTCCTGGGTGCGCAGCTTGCCCCGGACAGCTGGCAGCAGGCTGTAGGTTGGCATCACCCCAAAATGCCTGGGGTTGCTGTCGGCAAAGGTGCTGCGGAGCCACGCGAGCAGGGATGCCACCCAGGAGGCAGAGGGCAGGGGTGGCCTGCGACGGCGAGGGAGGCCCCTCCACCCTGCTCATTTTGTGTTTCGAAAGGGAGACCCTTGGATTTGGGGTCTGCTGTGTTAGCCTCTGGTCTCAGCAAGCATAAGAGGGACTACTGGAGAGAGTACAGCGGAGGGCTACGAGGATGAGGAGGGGACTGGAGCATCTCTTCTACAGAGAAAGGCTGAGGGAGCTGGGCTTGTTCAGCCTGGAGAAGAGAAGGCTGAGAGGGGACCTTAGAAATGCTTATAAATATCTGCAGGGTGGGTGTCAGGAGGACGGGGCCAGACTCTTTCCAGTGGTGCCCAGCGACAGGACAAGGGGCAACGGGCACAAACTGAAGCAGAGGAAGCTCCAGCTGAACATGAGGAAGAACTTCTTCCCTCTGAGGGTGACGGAGCCCTGGCCCAGGCTGCCCAGGGAGGCTGTGGAGTCTCCTTCTCTGGAGATATTCAAGGGCCGCCTGGACACGTTCCTCTACAGCCTACTGTAGGTGACCTTGCTTCGGCAGGAGGGTTGGACTAGATGACCCACAGAGGTCCCTTCCAACCCCTACCCTCTGTTATGCGGGGAAATCCGTTCTCCTCGCAGCAGGCAGCAGCTCCCCCATCACCCTCCCTTGTCCTGGTGGGTGGGTTTGGGGCTGAGACTTCAGTTCCCCGTGAGTGATGAGCTTGTACAGCTCCCAGGGTGACCCCCCCTGCGTCCGGGCACTGGTGAACCCCACAGCCAGGCACGCTGGTAAGTGGGGACTGTGCACTGCCCACCTGGGTCCACCTAGAAGTGGGAGAAGAAACGGGTCCGGCGCTGGCTGGGAGGATGCCGTGCATTCTCCATAGCCGGTGCCAGGCACCAGAGCGCGTGGGGACACAGTGGGATCGACAAGCCCCTCTACCACCCCAAACAGACCTGCCTGCTGGCAGGGCATCTCCTGGGTGCCGAAAACCCTGAGCGGCGGCGGAGGGGAGAGGAGGGGGGTGCTGACCTGTGCCTGTGCCCCCACAGCAGCAGCGGCGGGAGAAGGAGCT